CCCCGCGAGCGCGGAGGCGGCGCTGGTGGACGTGAACGTGTACCTGATCATCGCCATCTGCGCGGTGTCCAGCCTGCTGGTGCTCTCGCTGCTGCTGTACACGGCTCTGCGGTGCTCGGCGCCGCCCACGGAGGGCGCGTGCGGGCCGGGGAAGCCCGTGCTGGTGTGCTCCAGCGCCGTGGGGAGCTGGTCGTACTCCCAGCAGAGGCGGCAGAGGGTGTGCTCTGGGGAGGGGCCGCCCAAGACGGACCTCATGGCCTTCAGCCCTAGTCTTCCTCCAGGTCCGAACTTGTCGGAAGAAAATGAACACCCAGAAGTAAATTCGGAACATTCTGGTCATGTAAGTCCAACTTTCAAGCTTCGCCTTTAATGTTTTTTAAATTTAACTTATATAATCACCTTTTTAAATGTGACTTTTTAGAATGTATTCAAAGTGTCCACTAAAATTGAAAGAAATCTTACCATTCAACACAGGTATTTATGTTATTATTTACAGCTGCATCCTGAATGGAACATAGAAATAACAACCACAACAACAACAACAAAAATGTAGGGACAAATTGACGTGTTCTTTGAAAAAGCATCCTACTTAAAAAGAACACACACAGAAAATACTAAGTAGCCTTGATTACATTTAACACAGGATCTGAACGTAGTCAATTACAGTGACATTTTCAAGTTTATTACTTTAATCTTGTAGTGAAATGTCAAGTCTTTGACCAAAATTAATTTCTCTTGCCCGTTCGCATTACTATGTTCCCATAGCTATATTTCCTAATGTTCAGGCTTAGCATTTCCGTCATAGACAATGTTTATTTATGGATCCATTCCACAAGCACATAACTCTCTTATATACTGTAACTAAGCCCTGCTGTAGAACCTAGGGACAGGGCAACAGTGAAACAAGATAGGGAAGGTCTCTGGCTTGGGGGGTGGGAGGGAGAACACATTGTATTTAAAATAACAAGTTTACACCTGTTTTCACCTATTTAAAATAACAATTGGGTTATGAACAGGCTTGGATTTGGCATAATGTTGCTTTTTCCATTTTCTTTGCATAGCAGGGTGTTTATAAAGGGAGATGTTGTTCTATTCATAACTTTAAAAACTATTTTTATTGATTTCAGAGAGGAGTGGAGAGGGAGAGAGAGAAACATCAACGATGAGAGTCATTGATGGGCTGTCTCCTGCGTGCCTCATACTGGGGATCAAGCCCACAACTTGGGCATGTGCCCTGACATGGAATTGAGCCATGACCTCCTGGTTCGTAGGTCGATGCTCAACCACTGAGCCACTACAGCTGGGCTATTCATGACTTTTTTAAAAAGAGGCAATAAAATGCTGACTGTTATCAGCAAGCTTTGTTAGGAACAAAGCAGATGAAGGTTTCCCCCATCTATGTGAACAGTACTCAGAAAGTATATGTAATTCTCATTGCATCAGCTAAAGCAAAATATAGCCAAGTAGAGGAAAATGCCCTGGAAAGGTGAATTAAAATGACCAAACAATTGGGATGGATAGAGAAAACTATATTTTGAAGCTGAACTAAAAATCATAAATAGTATGGAAAACGTAAACGTATATGTTCTTCTATCAAGCCAGAAAAACTCGAGTTACAAGCTGGCATTTGAAGCTAAACTGGCACAATTTATTTCTTGAAGAATTTATATAGGTTGAAAAAGTAGTGATCTAATAATGCTTCACAGAGAGGTTAACAATAAGATTATTAACGGAATTGAGCATCATTTAACGAATACCAAGAGCCTTTTTTGAATTTGGCCTGAAGACATTCAGACACGCCTTCACATAAATACATTGGGATCACTGACAAAAAGAAAATGTTAGACTGATGCTCAACAGTTCTTCCTGTATATTGGTTATTGTTGTAAAGGTAAAATGTTTTCTGGGTTAGTTGAAGGTTTTAACTTGAAGGTAAATCTCAAATATTGGTTAATGATCACTAAACTAAAAGAAGTGGGTTTAAAAGGGTGATTTTTAATGAAAAGGTAATTCTGGAATGGAGAACAAGATTATTGTGGAGAGATTTGTTACTTAGTACAGTATTTCTTTATACAAACAAATATGAATGGAATTCCCATTGGTAGTTAATATTCTTGTCTCTTTCAGAATCTTTGAGTAGTTAACACAACTTTCAATAGTTTCATCTTTCTTTTTAAGATTTCTTTCAGAAAATGTATTATATTAATTCCTCTCTTCTTCTTTTATAAAGATGAACCAGTTGCTTTATTTTCTTACTTTTTCACCTGTTCTTTCCTATGATTAATGGGTTATTCAAACAATATTTCAGTATTAATGAAAACATAAAATAATATAGATTATGGCAGAACTTATTCTTTAGTGTTTATTTCATGGTATATTTACATTTCAAATTAGTCAGTCATTTAGGAAATTTACTGACTGAAAAATGGTCAGATCCTCAGAATAGGAAGTTTTATATGGTAAGATCTTTTACCAGATAATATTGTTATGCAACTGGATTAATTTTGGTTAATGTTAATTATCCATTAAAGTTAGTAGCTTCACAGCTTTGTTGTCCATTGGAAGACACTAGACAAGGATCATCATGCTGTACATACTGAGAATAACAGTTATTCTCATGTTCCTATGGAGGCTCCAATTTTCAAACATCCCAAGGGAAACAAAATCTTGTTAACCACATACATTATTATCTTTTAATTCTTCAATCTTGGTAATTAGTTTTCGTTTCATGATTATTTTAGGAATTATAAATTTATTTTCAAGTTACCTTGGTATGATGATACATACCAGTGTGATTTCATTTGTGGGAAAGTACTAATTTTACATCACCTAAAATGCAAGGCAGGGCACTTGAGAAGACTAATTCTTGATATGTTCCTTCTCTAAAAAACAAACAAAAAAACAACAAAAACCCAAAACGTTTCCTTTTCAAGATTAGAAGTGTAACTCTATTTTCTGGTATAACTATGTGATTAGAAAGTAAGGTATTGCCCAGTTGGTGTTGCTCAGTGGTTGAGCATTAAACTATGAACCAGGAGGTTGCGCATAGTTCAATTCCTAGTCAAGGCACATGCCCAGGTTGCAGGTTGTTTCCCAATCTGGTACAGGGCATGTAGGAGGCAGCCAATTGATGTCTCTTTCTCTCTCTCTTTTAATGAAGAAATAAAAACATATTTAAAAAAGAATACAAATAGATAAGAATGAGAAGTAGTTATTTATTTTACTAACAATATTTCTTTTCCTTCTGGGAACACTGTAGGATTTCCCTTCCCTGTTACCTTGAGGTGTGATTTTCTTTGACCAATGAAATGTGGATGTATCTCAATTCCTAGCAGAAGTATGTAATTGCCAGTGCAAGACTCTCTTGTGCAGTTTTATGACGTTGCAGGAATTATGAAAGCACAGGTTGATGTTGAGATGCCATAATCTAGAGGCCGTTTGGGATGCTGAGTCAACATGTGGAGGAAAGCTGTCTTAGGTAGTCTCCCATAACCAAAGAAGACCTTGCAGGAGCCAGAAATACAATTGTGTTTATTTTATTTTAATTAATTAATTTAATTGGGAAACATTGATGTGAGGGAGACACATCAATTGGTTGCCTCTTGCATGCACCCCAAACAAGGTCTGGGATAGAGCCTGCAACTAAGGTGTGTGCCCATGACTGGGATCAAACTCGGGACCCTTCAGTCTGAGGGCCGTTGCTATATCCACTGAGCCAAATGGGCTAGGGCCAATTGTGTTTATTTTAGTGGGAAAACTGAAATAGTCAGTGTAGAGCAACATATTCATTGGGATTCCAGTGTCATTAAGATAATGTGAACAGAATAAATTTTAAGAGGAGTGCATTACAATTGATAGAACATTATTATTGACTTTTTAAAAAATCCTCACCGAGGATATTTTTCCTATTGATTTCTAGAGAGAATGTGAAGGAGGGAGGAGGGGTGGAGAGAGAGATAGAAAGAAACATCCATGTGATAGACACACAATTGGTTGCCTCCCTGATTGGGCCCCTATCAGGACTGCAGAACCTGCAACCAAGGTATGTGCCCTTGATCAGGAATTGAACCTGTGATCCTTTGGTCTGCAGGAGTATGCTCTAACCACTGAGTGACTGGCCAGCACTATTATTGACTTTTTTTTAAATTAAGGCATCTGACCATTAAGCAGATTAGATAACTTGGATCCCATGGGAAAAATTATTGTGTTGTGGTTTCTTTTTTTTTTTTTATAAAAGGTAAAAAAAAAATAAACAATTTAAAATGTTTTAGGGTCTGGCCACTGTGGCTCAGTGGTTGAGCATTGACCTATGAACCAGGAGGTCAGGGCACAAGCCAGGGTTGCAGGCTTGATCACCAGTAGGGGGCATGCAGGAGGCAGCCAATCAATAATTCTTTCTCATCATTGATGTTTCTATTTTCCTCTCCCTCTCCCTTCCTCTGTGAAATCATTAAAAAAATACATTTAAAATGTTTTAGGTCCTCTTCCTCCTCCTCCTCCTCCTCTTCCTTTTTCTTCTTCTTGTTGTCTTGCTTAGTATCCATTCCTTCTTTTTTTCCTTCTAGGGCTTTGTTGTAGTTTTGTGAAAGATTGAGATAAAGATATTGCAAGAATAAATGCTCAGACACGTAAACCTTAGGGAATTGACAGTTCATTTTGATAAATGCAAAGGGTATTGCTGCACCAAATTATCACAAACTTTGTGTCTTAAAACAACAGAAATGTATTTCTCATAGTTCTAGAGGCCAGAACTCCAACATCCAGGTGTTCTGGCAGGGCCATGGTCCCTCTGAAGACTCTAGGGGTGAATTCATCCTGGCCTCTTCCAGTTTCTGGTGGTTCCTGGCATTCCTTGGCTTGTGGCAACATAACTCCAATTTCTGCCTCACATTTCTTTCCTGTGTTTCTGTGTATCTTTTCTTTTTCTGTCTCTTATAAGGACACCTGTCATTTGATTATGGCCAACCCTAATCTAGGATGATGTTAGAGTTACCTTAACTATATCCATGAATATCTTTATTCCAAATAAAGTCGCGTGCTAAGGATCTGGGTGTGTACTATTCAACCCACGACAGATGTCAAGAGATGTCAAGCTGGGTGGTACTTGTTCAGCATGCATTCTCATTCTTTTTTCCCCCCTGGGGGAAATGTGCTTGGATTTCTGGCATTAGCACTCTATTTCTCCGAGGGAGAGAGATAGGCTAGATCCTCAGAAACCCTGAATAACAGAATACACCTCATACCCCCAGCCATGTTATTCCAAAAACCCAGCAAAATTACTTTGAGGGATTACAAAAATTGCCATAACTAAGCTATGTTTCCAAGAGCTAATATGTGGTATAATTTCTTAATATGTCAATAGTAGCCAGTATGTTGGCCACTGATTAGTATGTCAAAATTACTGGGTATTAAAAACATGCCGTTGCATTGTAACTACGGAGTGATATAATGGCCGGTCTGTAGCTATGTGAAATCAGTGTAAGATCCAAGAGGATTTGCTTACATGAGGTCTTGCGCTGGCCTTCACTTCACAAGAGCAGCCTGGCCATTTTCAGCCCACATGATGCAGGAATCGCTTATTTCCTCTCCTGGCTTCAACAATGAAGATGTGACCCATGTCTGGCCAAGTGAGAACCATCACAACTATTGACCAAGGGAAAGATATGCCATCGAAACTGGGTCAAAGGAAGTGATATTTTAGGATTTTTGCTGGGGCTATCAGGAAAAAGGCGCTTTCTATTGAGAGTCACTAAATGTAGACTAAAAGCTACTTTGGCCATTTTGCCATCACATGGGGAAAGCCTACCTGAGAAAGAAGGTCAGCAGAGGAAAATAAAGCATAAATGTGGAGATACTGAAGTGTGTATACCCAGCTCTGCCTGAAACCAGTAAATAATTATCAATTTCCATGTATAAGACAGTAAGTGATGCTCTGCTTTCTTAAGTCAGTTCATTACTAGAGTATGATTAAAATAAATATACACTTCCATACAGGGTGTGAATAAGTTTCTTAGATAGGACTCAAGAGAGAAATTAGTATTGATTTTTAGCACCAGGAAAAGCTAGTTTTTCTTTAGAAAATGTTTTTGCTGTTCTTTTATGGACACTTTTTCCTCTTCCTGAAAGCAAAATTTGTGACCTTAGAGTAACTGAAAATGATTATAATGTATATTGGACACTGACCCACTCCTAAATTCATTTTATTTTCTTCTCTATGTTATCTTTATCTTATTTTTATATTGGTTATGTGTGAAGGGGCCAATTAAGAATTAATAAAAGCATTAGCTCTAAGAAAGGGATCAATTATACTATTCAAATATTTAAATGTAGTATAAAATGGAATATTCCTAAATTAAGAACACATTTTCCAAGTGAGAAGTTATTAACTTTCAAACATCTGCAAACAGTTCAGAAAACAAAGTTAAATCACAAAAACAACAATTGATTGAAGTACCCTTTGATTCCTGTGTGCATCACTTGAAGAAATGGTTTAAAAAAAGACATACTGTAGCCAAAAGAATTGAAAGCAGGGTCTGAAAGATAGATTTTTCACACCCATGTTCATAGCAGCATTGTTCACAAGAGCCAAGAGGTGGAAACAACCCAAATATCCATGAACAGATGGATGAATAGCCAAACAAAATGTGGCATATACACACCTGGGGATGAATAGGTAAACAAGGTGTGGTATATACACACATTATAATATTATTCAGTCTTAAAAAAGGAAGGAAACCCCATCACATGCTACAACCAGGGTGAAACTGGAGGACATTATGCTGAGTGAAATAAGCCAGTCACAGACAAATACTGTGTGATTCCACTAATATAGGGTAACTAACCTGATTAAATTCAAAGAAACAGAAAGTAGAATGGTGTGTGGGGGTATGTGGTGGAGAAGTGGGAGTTGTCTAGTGAGTATGGAGTTTCAGATTTGTAAGGTGAAAAGTTGTGGAGATCTGTTTCACAACAATGTGAATATACTTAACATACTAAACTGTATACTTAAAAACGGTTGAGATGGTACATTTTATGTGTTTTAACCCAATAAAAAAGGGGAAATGATATAATCCAGAGTTTAAAATAGCTATTTTTCAAAGATGAAAGTTATGCATAAACTTAGACCAGACAATAGTCTAGTTTTAAATCTATAGGATAAGCAGTAATGCCTACGTTTTGGCCACATGATGTCGCTGTCTACCGCAGAGTGTTCTCTGGGAGGAAAAATACCCACAGCCCCATCCTCACTCCAGAGAAGCGGAACAATAAGAGAAGCAGGAGATGAGAGGAGAACATTTCACAGTTTACAAAACATGATTTTCTAATTTGATCAACTCACGGAGGATTGGTAATGGTGTCTTCTATGAGAAAGGACCCGGAGGTCGGGCGTCTGCTGCTCTCCATTCTGTTCCTCGCAGCCTGGGAGGCGGGGAGCGGCCA